TATGAATTGAAAGTTTAATGACATTTGTAAGCATTTTAATTTACATTAAATAATAATCTGTAAATCATTAGGTAACTTTTAATAAGTACATTAGTAAACATTAACAAGCACATTATCTCATATTTCTAGCTATGTGAATGTAATATATATTAACTAATGATCTGTTAAGCATTATATAATGATTGTTAATAATTTATTAATGAAAGTTATTATAAAGTGTTACCGCATCTTGCCTGTATATATTTATATATTTAATTATATTTATATGTATATATTAAAAACAAAAGCTTCATAATTATTAAACTAAAATGGCTAAAGTGGTAATGGATTAAGGGTATAATAATTATATAAATCATATAAGATATTTATAATAATCAATCATCAATAAAAGCCAGACAATTTTTTTTCTTTAAAAATGTTTTACTATCTAGTGTCCTTTAATTTGGAGCAAGAGAAACTGGGGAGTGACTTTATTGCATCAGAGATGTGTCACTTTGCTCAAAGTTGATTGGTCAAATTTCAGTTTGAGATCTCTAAACCAGAACATAACCTGTCCCAGAGCAGGTTTGCCGTGGGGCATAAGTTACTATGGTGATGATCACAGCTAAAAGCCAAACCACTTTCATGGTGCCTAAAACCCAGAGTTGGTGCAAACTAAACTGAAATGTACCTGGATAGTCAGCTAAACCGGCTTCATGGTACATACAGGCCCCTGATGCACACTCCTGTGATGTTAACACACCCTATAAACACAACTACATGATCATTACTTGTTTGTCAGAGTAATAAAAATGACAGAATTTTAATGTTCTTTCCTCATCTTTTTCAGAATTTTCTTTAGAACGTGATCAACTTTTACAAAGTCTGAAGACAATCATACCTAAAGGTGAATTTGTTTTATATGTCTTAATTAAAATATAAATTCATTACCTTTGAATTATTCTGCAAAACAATGAATCAACAAGCGGAGCATTCATATGTGTATTCAATTCATTTTATTTTATTATTAGATATATAAACTGTATAAAGTCTTCTTGGATTTTGTTGGTCTTCAAGTGGTGATTAAAATGACTGATTTCATTATTGATCTAAAGATGAAGCCTTCATAACTTCATACTTTCTGTTTTTAGCTCTCACACATTCAAGAACACACAAGGGTGAGTAAAAGGAATAATTGTTTATTTTAATTAAAGGCATGTTTCATGGCATAATTATTTATTTTAATATACATTATTTATAATAATTATTTATTTTACATTACTAAATAAAAGCAAGACAAAAAAATCAACACGAGGATTCAAAAATGAACAACAAAATGACTCACAGACAGCAAACTAAAAGCAAGTGAAGTGAAACAGGAAAAATCAGAACATTTCAGTCTATCAGTAATAGATAAGATGTCAAAATTATGAACATTATTGTTTATAGTATAATGTATTAAACGATAAGTGGTGTATCTTTATTTTTGTTTGTCTTGTTTTAAAGTTCTCATGATTCCTATAAAAATAAGTAATTGCCTTTATTTCATTATATACTCGTCTGTAAAGCAGATTTTTCAATATTCTCCACAGTGAATGTGATTCTGGATGCTGATATGGCTCATCCACGTCTCATCGTGTCTGATGATGGGAAACAAGTGAGAGATGGAAACAGACAAACAGGAGTGAATGGGGAAAAAGACAGATTTGATGAATATCTTGGTGTTCTTGGGAAGGATGGATTCTCCTCAGGGTGTTTTTACTTTGAGGTGCAGGTGAAAGGACAAACTAGGTGGTATTTAGGAGTGACCAGAGCATCTGTTAGCAGGAAGGGGTCGATCAGTCTGAGTCCTGAGAATGGATACTGGTCTGTGGGTCTGGAAATTGGGAAGTATAGGGCTCGTGAGTCTTCATATGTCTATCTTTCTCTGAGTGTGGATCCTCAGAGGGTCGGTGTGTTTGTGGATTATGAGAAGGGTCTCGTCTCCTTTTATGATGTGGAGTCCATGTATCATATCTATTCTTACACTGATCAGTCTTTTGATGAGAAACTCTATCCATTTGTTAGTTTGGGGTATTGGAGGAATGAAAACCCCACACCACTGATTATCTGTGATGATTACTAATGAGATCAGTGACTGAATTTACACGATCAACTGAAATAAACAAAATACAATTTAAAAAAGTGTAACAGCAATAAATATGAAATATTATTTGCACTACCAGTCAAAAATCTGGTCACACAAGGGTGATTTTATGTTTTCTGTGATCTTAAAATGTTTTGGTTTTAAGACTTCTGCTTAAATGTCTGAAATGACTTTTGTAAATTAATATAAATAATGCCAAGTGTAACATAAATATGAAATATTATTTGCACTACCAGTCAAAAATCTGGTCACACAAGGGTGATTTTATGTTTTCTGTGATCTTAAAATGTTTTGGTTTTAAGACTTCTGCTTAAATGTCTGAAATGACTTTTGTAAATAAATAAATA